ATCCTTACATCTTCTATTCAAGACTTCAAGATGCGACCCCAACTTTCTTGAATAGAAGAGGCAAGGATTTGAGATTGTTCATTTTTTATCAATGTTTGAATGGTTGATAAAGAGAATTAGATGACACTCGAAGGGCATTTGTGTCTTTTCAAATGCCACTTAATGGCGGATTGATGGGCTACTTAACGGAAGGTATTGGATTGGCACGTCTTGAAAGTTCGAGTACTGAATTGTCAGGTTTTAAAGTTCAGGGACTAAACTGGCACTAGGCCCAAAGTACAAGGTTCTAATCGGGGATTTTCCCTGGGTTGATTGATATATACAAATTTCATTTACAAATATATATATTTCTTTTGCCCACCCAAGCTTAACCTGAGTTCAGATCAGATCTAAGTTTGATGGCCCAGGCCCAGCCCGTGCAAAAACTCAGATTGACCCACCATAGGGGTTTAACTTGGGTAGGTCCACCTTGAGGTTGGACCAACCTAACCCACAATTTTATACGGGCTGGACACAGATTTTTGGTCACTGGGCTAGGTTGGGCCTAAAATTTTGGGCTTTTTTACTTTTTCGAGGTAGGCCTGGTCCTAAGCCTTAATAGCCTGAGTGTGGCCCTAACCCAAGCTTGAAAGCCCAAGCCCAAATTTCACTCCTAGCCTTCTATATGCTACAAGTATTAATAAACTTTGGTTGTTGAATGTTGTGTTGTGACAGGGACTAGCCATTAACACATATTCACCAACAAAGCAGATGTACCCTCTAACGAGTGGCATCAAAGCAGCCAATTACAGTGGCCCCGATGCATACCCAGAGTATGATTCTTGAACAGCCTTCCTCTTGCCTGCATGCTTTCCTAAGACTATTGACAAGTTCGTGGGTGTCTGTCTTTATTTGTTAATTAATTTTCATTTAAAAAATGATAGTACGTGTGACTGGGGAAGTTTGGGTGAGAAGCACGTCAAAGGCAAGATAGTTTACTGTGCCCCGGGAGGTATATACCAAGACTATACAATCAAAGTATTGGGTGGTGCAGGGACAATCATAGCAGGATCAGACTTCAATGACACAGCCTTCACTTTCGTTCTTCCTACCTCCTATGTTGATCCTAAGGTCGGCAATTTGATTGATAAATACATCAACACCACCAAGTAATTCCCAAATCTGCAATCACTTCTACACTCTTTCTTTGATTTAATATAAACTTTTGCTATGTCTCAACTCAACTGTATGTGAATGTGATAAACATAATGCAATGCAGGAACCCTCAAGCTATTGTACACAAGAGTAAAGAAGTAAAAGTCAGTGCCCCTTTTGTGGCCTCCTTCTCATCTCGTGGCCCCAATTACCTCAGCCCAAGGATTCTCAAAGTAATCTCTCTCTCTCTCTTTCTCTCTCTCTCTCTCTCTCTCTCTCAAAATGTTGTTTGTTCACTTGGATGAGCAGCCGGATATCACAGCTCCAGGAGTGGACATACTGGCCGCTTTTACAATGTTGGAGTCAATAACTGGTGAACCACATGATAACCGGTTCTCTTTGTTCAACATAATATCGGGCACATCAATGTCTTGCCCTCATGCTGCCGCTGCTGCCGCCTACGTCAAGTCCTTCCATCCCCACTGGTCCCCGGCGGCAATCAAGTCTGCCCTGATGACCACTGGTAAGTCTTTCTCACGTTGGCAACAATCCTTACTCCGACCCCAATATACAAATACAACCACTCGTTTCAAGTTCAACTGACAGAAAGAATCAGCATAGCAAAACCTTCTGCTGCTTTCATGGCTGCTGAATCCTTGACCCCCATTGTTGCTTATTCTTGTTTCAGCCACCGCAATGAAGGTTAAAACTCCGGACGCTGAATTCGCATATGGGTCTGGCCAGATCAACCCAGTGAGAGCGCTCAACCCTGGCCTCGTCTATGATCTTCGGGCAAGCTCCTACATTCGCCTCTTGTGCAGGGAGGGCTACAACGACACCAAACTTCGACTACTCACAGGTTGGAACCATTTGGATTGCAGAAAATTCCAACCAGCGCGTGGCTACGATGGCATCAACTACCCAACAATGACACTTCAACTACACCACCCCACAAAAAATTATTCAGCTGTTTTTAAACGAACTGTTAAGAATGTAGGGACTAAGAACTCAGTTTACAAGGCAATAGTGAAATCGCCCAAGGGTCTGTCTGTCTCCGTTTTCCCCAGTACTCTAGCCTTCAACCGGGTGTACCAAAGGAAATCTTTCAAAGTCGAGCTCAAGGGTGAGCCCCTAATAAGTAACGGAACTGGACTTATTTCGGCGTCTCTAGAATGGAAAGACTCAACTCACAGAGTCAGGAGCCCTATCGTCGTTTATAAGGTCTTACCTTACCAGGTAGCTGGTTAGCTCATCAGTTTCCTCAAAACAAGTCTGTCTCTATTTCAGCGCCTTTTTCTGGGTCTTGTTGAATAGATTCGATCAATAGGTTTAATCCTTGCTGGGTTTAGTGTTTAGACTTTCAATGTCCACATCTTATTAATATTTTTTGTATTCAAGTTAATCAATGAAATTTGCTAAATTTAATATAACTTTTCTTTAAATCTGCTTGTGAGTCTATTTAATTTTATTTGTCCTTTGAGGTTTTGTTCTCCAATCATAAACTAACAGCAAATCTTTATTTCACTAGAGTTGTTTTAAGCGTGAATCACCCACCCATTTAATTTAAGAGGAAATGGATCCTCTACATGCTATAAAAAAATTGATTTTATTTTAAATAGTGTTTCTATTTCTCCATCTATATATAAGGCACTCATCGAAGAGATGATTGGGAGAGGGAAGGCACTCTTCTCTCCAAGTTGCAAATGGCAGCGTAACCTCTGAGCTTTTTTATCTTGGTTTAAAAAACTTCAAAGTGATGAAATTCCAAAATATTATAAAGAATTCATTGTAGAATCTCTTAATCTATGTTTTGAAAAGATGTTATTGGGAATTAGGTACTAGTTTCTCTAATGCCCTAGCCTCTCTCTCTCTAATCATAAAACTAAAAGAAGCTTCCCAAGATTTGGAATCTAGGGGTGCAAATGGATTGGATCATCCGATCCTATCCGATCCTATTTGGTCAAATGAAGATCACCCCTATTCGAATCGGATCAGATATATATTATATATTTATAAATATAAATATATATAATACATATATATGTTATTTATTTATTTATAAATATATTTTTTATAATTTTGTTATATTATTTATTTTTTTATAAAAAACATGTATATATATGACGAAAATAATTAAAAAATACTTGTACTTTTGTTTTTATTTTATTTAAATTAGTATATTTTATTTTTCTTGTAATGATTTATTAATTTTTAAAGAAAACAATTTGAATCGGATTAGATCTAAAGATCTGACTTACCAGTAGAGTTCAAATTCAAATCGAGTCCTATCAGAGCAGATCGGATCTTTGGATCAGATCAGATCCGACATAAACAATGTTGGAATCCGATCCAATCCGTTTGCATCCCTATTGGAATCCCAATCAACTCAACCTTGAACTATCAAGGTATTTGATGAAAATTAATACCAAATAATCAAAAATTAACTTTCAACTTTAACTACATAGGTTGAGAGACTTACTAATTAAATTTGACCTTGATAGATGATTCCCAGTAGCTCCTCTATGTTTAGAAACGGTATCTTGATGATTCAAACAAGAAAGTTATCTTGTCATCATTCCATGGTGTAAAAAAAGGGTTGATTCGATTATGTTCTTAATAAGGAGAGAAAAATGGGATGTGGTAGTTTTGACAATTTCTAACCCTAGCTTTCAAGCTTTTCTTAATTCCCCATTGGAAATGGTAATATGGATTCAAATGATGTTTCTTTGTATTGTTATATTAGGGGCTATTTATAGAGAGAAAGGGTTGGAAAGGTCTTAAGCTTGACCCCACGCATCCTAGGGTTTATCCAAGATTTCTATGAATTGTTTCAGGGTTTTTTGTGCCCAATGTGGGTATTTTCGAATCTATTTATACCAGGCTCGAATTTGGCTTCTTAGTATTAAAAAAACATAAAATTGAAATGGACATAAAGACCCCTATGTCATTTCCCAGATTCAAGAAAGGCTACTTTGGGGTTTTGGGTTCATCTTGTCTATTGGGTGCATCCTAATTGGTTTAAGGGGCCGGTGGGGTTTTAGTGAAGGGCTAACATCAGCCCCACCTCTAGATCAATATAGGTTATGGGAGATTGAATCTGGTGCTAAAAATATAATATTTTTATTTTAATGATGAAATCAGGGAATTAAGTTATGAAATTTGATATAACAGGGTTTGTTTTTGAGTCCTTGAACATGATTATATAGTCTAATTGATTAAATGAGATTTACATGATGAAGATTTATGACTGATAAGTTTCGATTAATGAGATTTGTTGAAATGGAATTTTGGTTGAATGACAGGTCAAATGAGAGTCTTGAAATAAAATTTGAGGGGTATGCATTTTTGGGTATCTAGAATCTTATGGAAGAAATGAATATTGGATATATGGATTGATATATATGATTCAGATTAGGGTTTTGTCTTATAGCTTATTAACCAATAAGAAGGCTCAAAATGGAAGTCTTGCTTATTCTAGAGGAAAATAAAGGAATTTATGATTTAGATTAGATTGATTATTTTCAGGTTTCTAAACTCAATGAGAGAAGTTAGGCTATTGCATATTTTAGTGTGATTTAATTATAAATGTGAAATTAGAATCTATAAGTGGGATGGTCAAATGAAGAAATTTTGAGTTGAAATTTGACGTGTGAGTGTAAATAGGGGTGTTAAATATCATGGCATTTTCAAATTAGGTAGAGGATATTGGTCTAGTTGTTTAGTTTTATTCATCTAGGACCATTGGAATGGAATCTTAGTAGTTTTCATGGTTGACCATTGGATTCAAAATGGGATTTGGTGAATGAATATATCTCAATGTTTTTGAGGTGATGCACACCAAGGTTTAAATATTGTGTTGGTTAGAATCGTTAATAAGGAAATTTAGGGTTTGTTTGGTTTACGGTCATATCAAATTGGATTGGAATTGAAATACCCTAGAATCAAAATGGGAATTGCCTATTTCCAATGCTTGTTTTGTTCAAATGGAAATCTGTAGAGTCGAATTCCAATCATTGTTGTTTGGTTCATTTGGAGTCGTAATCAGAATCAATTGAATTTTTTTAATTTTGTATTAGTTTATTGATATTTTATTATTTTATTATTACTTTAATAAAATTATATTAATATTTTATTATACTATTAATTTATTATTTTATTAATATTAGGGTTTGGAGGCTTTTTTGTTAGGAGCACTATAATTATTGATAGACTCTAAAATGGAAATTCTATTCCCAAAGGGGAGGCTAGAGTGGCCATTACCTCATATGGGGGAATCCCATTCTACAAAAAGTGGTAATTAGAATCCCATTCTACCAAAAATGGTAATTAGAATCCCATTCCAGCCAAACAAACAGTTGAAATCAGAATGATCCATTTCGATTCTTATTCCAAGCACTTATTTTAGGGAACTAAACGAACTCTTAGTATGACGAATGGTGGATCCGTTAGAAGGGCTAAAACTCATTAGTTTCATGGCCAAACTTGTTAGGGTTGATGACCAAATTGCAAAAAAAAAAAAAAAAAAAATCCAAACCTGAGAACCAATTTCTCAATATTTGCTTAATTTTTTGGATCCATCTTCCATTGAACCTAATCAAATTTGAAACTCAAAATTAAACTGAGCATACTTGATATCAAGTACACAAAATTCAGACCTACATCAGCCTCCCAGCTGAAAATGGCTCGGCTGGAACTTGATGTTGATCTTGCAACTATGCTTTAGACGATTTTGATCTCCAACTAATTGGAATTAATGCAAACTGGGTGAACCACTTAATCTTTGATTTTTTTCTTTAAAAAAAACAAAATAAAAAATCATGGAGAAATAGTCAACTCCAAGGTTGGTTCAAACTAGGGTTTATGAAAGAGAGAGAGGGAGAGTAGGTGAGAGTCTAGCTAGGAGAGTTTAATTCGACCTCTCCCTTTTAACCCTATATATAGACCTCTCTCCCAATAAACTTAGGACTAATCCAAATCAGATTTGGGTTAGGACTTAACCACATCAAAAGAATTGAGCTCCATACCCATATTCAATCAAAATCACATGACAACTTCATGTGACTAATTTAACTAGTCTTTCTATTAATGGTCTAAGGCTCATTTTCTTTAGTGATTCACTTACATAACTCTTGATAAGCTTCATAGACTTGAATAATGTAAAGAGTGGGACCCACAACGGTTTCACATCAGTCCATATGGGTTAAGCCCATGTTTGGAAAGAGACAGGCCTAATTCACTACATAAGGGTAGTGAACCCCTGAGCCAATTGAGTTGGGCTTAGTTTGGGCCCAACAGTTAAGTCAAAGCCATCATTGCATTCAACCACCTTAATGAGCCCAAGGATAATAGATTGATATGATATAAAATTCATGAAGTTTTCAGCCCTATAATGGTCTTTTACTCTTAACCTTTCAACTCCAGATAGTTAAAACATTGTTTATAGGGCTGTTTCTCTGACTACAAAATGTAATATCACACCCTCTACATAAATAGATGCTGGATTAAAAACTTTTTGCAAACCGTTTTCAAAATGACATAATATAAGTATAAATGCATTTTACATAAAGATTTCAAATATAATTAAGATCCATTGTCAACAGTTTTAGGTTTCCATCAGAAATAATATAAACCCTAATACATCTTGTTAGAATAAGCACTAAACAAATAAAAGACACCTATGAAATGTTACCAAGTTTAAAATCAAAATACACTAAAGAAAATGTTACAAATGAAATGTTGCTAATTTTGAAATCAAAAGTCACTAATTTAAAATAAAAGACATGTCTATTATAACACTTTAAATGAAAAAGCACTTCAAAACCAAAGGTCACTGCCCGACAAGAGAGGACATCTCCCTCGGCTGCAAGGAATAGTGCTGCACTCTCTACTCACATGGATCCCGGGAATTAAAACATTTTGCAAACGTTTGGAAACCATAATATATATACTTTTATATCTCATATAAAATATATTTTGCAAAACAAATCTCAACGATTGGAATCGGCTGCCGGCAGTCTTGGTTTCCATCAGAGAGAGTGCATCCCCGATCATTACCTTTGTCCGACAAAGGGGTTGATCCTGTCACTATGATCACCCACTCAAATGAATTCTCAGACTGTCCCAACATACCTAGGTTTTGACCCCCGCTAAGGATCTCACTGATTGGCATATCAAAGACAGTCTGATCCGACACCTAGTACAGTATCATAATCGAGTCTAAGGGTCAAGTGTAACTTTCTAGTTTTGCCCACCAATCTCCAAGGTCCAGGGCAATATTGAAAATCTGGTCCGATTCAAATATTCAATTAATCCTACACTACATGTGCCTTGAGCCTCACCCTGGCGGCTAAGACAGGCCACCCCAACAATTGGCAGCACACTAGTGTCAGCCTTGGCAGGATAAATCTCTCCAGACTTATCCAATGGTTGTGAACATTCTAAACTAACACGAGTCTCATAAGTGTCCAATTTAAGGGTATTACACAGAAACACACCACATGAACATGAATCAAATATGTAATTTATTCATTTACAATAAATTCATAATGTACATCATTCTGATTGGAACTAAAGACATACAACTGTCTAACATTAATAAATATTTTGGACCGAATTGATCCAATCCAATACATCCAATCCATCCAAATTGATATTGGACTGGTCCACTGACACCCTTACTTGAAAGGGGAAAGGGGTTAAAGTTAACGCTGAAGCCCGCCCTCCTAAACACGGGTTGTGTATCAGAGACGATATGATCAAATTGGTTTTTATAAGATTTAATGGAGCGTCGGTCGAATCCAGAGAAAACTCTTCAAGCATGACCTATGTTCCATTAGAAGCTCTCCCCTCCAAGACCGGAGCAAATTTAATTAGACTAAATAGCAAGATGGATCAACAACTTTAGATCCGACCCATTTGTGCCCAACAAATTGAAGCGATATAACTGTGATTCCGCAAAAAGAAAAAGAAAGAGTCCAAGCTGACCAAGCTCCTCCCACAAATTTCTCTATGATAATCCAGTGAAAATCTCCACTTCATCAAACTACTAACAGACAAATGAAAAGCAAAATAGAATCATTTTCGTCAATATTTAAACCACCCACTGGTTACTCTTCTCTAGCACCTGCTCGTCAAAGAGAGACTGGGAGATCTAGACGATGAGGATCTCAGAGAAACTTCTGCTGGCCGTCTTGATCAATCTCTGTCTAGTAGCTACGTCAGTTCATGGCTCCGCCAGCAACACCGGTAGACAGGTTGGTCTCTCTATCTTGTGCGCTTTATACATGGAGTTTGTTCAAAGCATCAGCTAATGGTGATTATTGTGTTGATAACAGCCGTATATAGTGTACATGGGAGACGTGCAGGAGCATGGATTCTCAGTAGAGCAACACCACAACATGCTTACTGATGTCATCGGAGAGTAAGTAGGCCGATACATTTTACCTATTGCAGCTGTGACATTTATCGAACATTTGTTGGTTGAATTTCTGATTTTGATTATTGTTTTCGAAGATTGCCCATAAGATCAGAGGTGATACCTGTTTCTCTTTGTTGTGTGAAACTCAAGTGCCAAATTAACCTAGGTGCGATTCCTAAGTGCGGATCTTGGTTGAATTTCGGAACAAGAGAAGAATAGTAAATGGCCATATAGGTGAAATGAAATCGCAAGTAGTGCGAGTCCCAGAATACTCGGTGCAAATATGTACCATGCAAAAACATATAAAATAATACAAAACAAATTTGTAGAGTGCAAATTTGTATGTATTTATACTGTACATATTTGCATTTGTACGCCTTCCAAGACTCATATAATGCAAATATGTAGAGTTAAAAACCTTGCAGTTTTTATTATTTTTTATATATTTATAGGGAATGGCAACAGGGCAGGGCCGGGTTTTACATATCCTTTCCCAACCCTTAACACATATACCCCATTGCATACCCAATGAGGCTGGAAATCCCAGCCCCATCCGGCCATCCATATCCCCACCTCCACCGGGAATGGGGATCCTGAATTTTCCCCACCCCACCCCGACCATTGCTAACCATGGTTTCTTTCACATTTTGGATTGGCATTTTCATTACCATGGTTTATTCATTCACATTTTGGGGTAGACTTGAACTTGTCTAGGCCAATTCAGTCTCAATTTGAATTCAAGAAAATAGATGTCATTTACAATCCCAAATCATAATAGCATTAATTTATGTCCGTTTGAATTTAAAAACAATTACATCAATAAATTTTTAAAATAAAATTGATAAAAAAATCCATAGATAAGTGATTCACCTAAAAATATTGCTTAGCTAGGTTGGACTTTAACTTGCCTAAACCAATTGAGTCTTAAATTGAATTCAGAGAAATAGATACCATTTTCTTTCTGCAGTCTTAAAAATCTTAGTTACACTATTTTAAAATTCAATAAATTTAGAAATAATTATATTAATGAAAATTTAAAATTAACTAATAAAAATTAGAATTTGATAGACAATTTACCTAAAAATATTGCTTGGATTGGACTTGAACCTGACTAGACTCCATGAGACCCCACACTTGCCAATCAATTGGGAATGTCATAAAGTTCTCTCTAGCTTCTACCTTCTGCCTTCTACTTCAATTCTTAATAGTAAATGGTTAAAAAATATCACATCATATCATCTTAATAGTAAATGGTTAAAGACATAAAGGATTGAACCTTTTAGATAAGTTGCGATGCGATCATAAAGGATAGAAACTTGACCAAGTTGTTTTATTTGAGTCTGGATCTCCTGCACTCGTAGTATGTGGGCAGGGTTGTACTTCCAATAACAAATGAACACGTATTGTATATAGAGTGTGAACTCCACCCACATACGTGGAGTGAGACTAAACGGTAAAACTTCTATTAGATTAATATTTTATTTTTTTTAATTTAAAAAATAGTAAAAGTGAACAAAAAGGAGTAGGAACTGACCCTAGACTTCAAACGATGAAACCCTCCTTCAAGCTAATCTTGAAAGATTCAAGATCGGGATGAAGAAAAAACATGTGACTTGTTTATTTGAATCTTGCTCTTGACCGAAGATGGAAGAAGAAAATTCAATCTTGACTGAAACTATAATAAAACTCAGATTTGTCTTGAATCAAACCTCCAAATCCCGCTCTTGATCTTGACCGAAGACGGAAGAAGAAAAACCAGATTTGAAGAAATATTGAATCTCACAGTTTGGAAGGTTTCACCATGAAAATTCAAGGAAGCAACTAGCAAATGAGTGCTTTCATATAGATATTTCGCCCTTGGCTGAAGCTTGAAGGAGGTCTTCTTCTGATCATTAATCTATACTATCTATAAAAGTAAGAACAGATGTGGTTGGCTTTTGGAATTTTCACTAGACTAAAATACCCCATCTCTAAGGTTTAAATCAGAGAATTAGCAATGGTAAATATGTAGTTTTGTTTTCTCATTTAATGCTTATTACAGAAAAGACACAAAATTCCATTCTTTTTGTTCATAATTGTAAAACAAGTCAATGACAAAAATGTTATTTAACATTCTCATTTAATACTTGCTAGGGAAAATACAAAAAAAAATCCATTTTTTTGTTCAATAGTTGGAAAACAAACCATAGTAATTGCTGAAACATCCCTTGAAGTTTTTAACCGTTACCCAAACCTCCCCTGAAGTTTGGTAATTGCAATCACCTCCCATAAATTTCTTGAAACAATTGCAAGTAGACCCCCTTTGTAAAATCCTCTAGCAAGAGGTATGAAAAAGAGAGTCTAAAGTTGCAATTTTGCCTTTGAGCAATTGATATGAAGGGAAAATTTGGAAAATATATCAATTCAGAAAAAGAGATTAGAAGGGATTGGAGTAGTGATTGATGTGAAGAAAAAAAATTAAAAAATAAATATTTTATTCAAAAGTAAGTATATGGGTATTTTGGACATTTTTTGTGCTTTTTGTTAGAAGATTCTAATAGAGGGTCTACTTGTATCTATGTCAAAAAGTTCATGGGAGGTGATTGCATTTACCAAACTTTAGGGGGTTTAGCAATATGATCAAAAATTTTACAAGAGGTTTTAGCAATTTACCCTTTAATTTATTTAAATTAAAAAAAAACTTGAATGTACATGTTTTTTTCTCAAATAGCCAATGTTGGGCCACATTAACCACCATGAATAGATTTTCAACTTGCAAATGGCATGCATGACCAATTTATTCTTTAAACTATTTTCTTGTTTTTTTTAAATATTTTTAACCTATTTTCATTGGTTTAGTTCTTGATCATATGGTGGGTTCATTTTTAATTTCTGTTACCTTAAAGCCCACATCATTGGGTGGTAAGATATCTGCAAGAGTAAGTAATATTTTTTATAGCAGTTCATTGTAAGGGTTTTAGTGGTTGAAGGAGCTGAAGTTGGATTTATGATTTATCATATAGAAGTTAATTCTTGCAAAGGTAATGAGAATACAAATAAAATTCTGATGAAGGTAATTGATAAAAATTATTAATTTTATTAATGAACAATAATAAATAAGAATAATAAAAATTTTATTAATGATAAATAAAAAATAAGAATAATAAAAATTTTATTAATTCTTGTTACCTTTTCAAGAATTTTATTTGGACATGTCTTTATATTAATGAACCATAATAAATGCGATAAATAAGAATAATTTTTATAGATGTAGAAATATAAAAAATTGTAAAAAATTTTGGAAATATATTATATACTATCATCATCACAAAATTTGTTACGTGCAAAGCATGTACACAAATACTAGTGGTTGAAGCTTGAAGAAGGGTTCATCATTTGGAGTCTAGGGTAAATTCCCACTCCTTTTTGTTCACTTTAAATATTTTTTTAAGTTTAAAAACAGTAAAATATTAATTTAATAGAAGTTTTTCCGTTTGGTCTCACGACACGCATGTGAGTGGGGTCCACACTCTGAACACAAGACAAGTTCATTTGTTAATGGAAGTTTACCCCCGCCCACATACTTCAAGTGTAGGAGATCCATACTCATTTTATTTAGGGTCATTTACTAGAACACCCCCTATACGTCGCAACCTATTTACTTAATTAACGTTTCACTAGGGGTGGATTCGAGCCGAGCCGAGCTGAATATTTGGTTATTCGAGCTTGGCTCATAGAAATAGTGTTAGGCTCGAGCTCTATTCGAGCTAGAGACTTGAGCTCAAGCTCGGCTTGGTTCAAAAGCTCGCAAGTTTGAGCTCAACTACAAGTCAAGCTTTTTCTAAAAAATAAAAATTATACATATAAAAATTGTTTTTTTTTAATTTTACATAAAAAAATAAGGATTACAAAAATTACTTATTATATATAAATATTTATATGTATAGTATGTATGTATGTATGTATGTATGTATGTATGTATGTATGTATGTATGTATGTATGTATGTATGTATGTATGTATGTATGTATGTAAGTATGTATAATAAAAATTATTTATTTATTATACTAGACGTGATTAGGTTCCCGAACCTCATGAGCCGAGCTTCACTGAGCTCAAGCTTAGCTCGAAACTCGGTTTAAACCAAGCCGATCCGAGCTCCAATAGCTCATGAGAAGCTCAGCTCGTGGCCACCCCTAGCCTTTCACTAAGAAGTGTTTGTTTTGTCATCTAAAAATAGTAACATGATCACATAAATTGAGTGAAAAGTGTACAAGGCATGGGCATATGATTGCTTATTCCAAAAGTACCCTAATACTTCTTCATACAGAAAACAAAATTGAGCAAATAGTACCAAACAGAGTGGTTGTTCATGTCTTACTAGGGGCAAAAATGGTATTTTCAAATTTATTTTCTTTTGATTAAATTTATTCAAATGGACATTAGGGTCAAAACTGTCAATTTCCACTATCATCTAATGGAAGGTTAATTAAGCTAATCGATTGCAAGCTATAGATAGGGGTGCAACTTGGGTGGGCCCAGCCCGAGCCTGAATTGGCCCAACCTGGAATTTTACACAGGTTGGGCTTGGATTTTCGGTCCTCGGGCTGGGCTCAGGCCCAAGAAGTCGGGCTTTTTTACTTTTCGGGCCAGGCTTGGGCCTAGCCCTTAGGTAGCCCAAACTCGGCCCAATTATATACATTTGTACATATTTGCATACATACATTTATATATGTATAATTTTAGAGTGGGTTCATTGACCAACCCGGATGCATCAAATTATAGGGCAGGCTGGGCTCAGATTGGGAAAATCAGGCTTAACCTCGGGCTCGGGCCTTAAACCCAAATTTTAGGACCGGGCCTGGGTTGAGCATAAACCCGGCCCAACCCGCCCAACTTGCACTCCTAGCTATAGAAGGTGTTTTAGTTTTTAAAGGATATTGCCAATGATTTGATTTATCATTGATTAAGTAACTTTTGATATATATCCATTCTCAAAAATAATATATATCAGAGTGGAATGAATAAATACCACTCCCGCTCCATCCCTAGTCAGAATAGTTTTGGGTTTCCCTAAAACCCGCCCCAACGAGGGTGGATCAGATTGCAATCTATAGGGTGGCCCAACCCTCTACATCCACCACAAACCACAAGATAAAATTTTCCCTTCAGTGTTTTCTCCATAAATGTGGGTCAATTGGAGAGTAATGACTCCACTAGAGAACAGACCATGCAATAACAGAAGCGTAGTCGGCCTTTCATTGAGAAGATTAGGCTTTCTTTGTTTTCCTTCTGGGCAATTTGTTGCTAAACTTCTAGGTATTGTTTCAAATTGGATGTATGCAGCTGAAGCAAAAGATTGTAGTTTCTCCATGTGTAGTTGAGCAAATTAGAGGAAAAGACTATCTTCCATCTTATTATTTTATTTTAGGATAGTTTGATGTTGATGAAGATGTTGTTCTTTTTCCAAGTGAGAGCATTGCAAGAGAGTCCAGATTACATAGCTATAAAAGGAGTTTTAATGGGTTCGCGGCCATGCTGTTGCCACATGAAGCAAATCGACTGATGGGTATGTATGGCTATCTATCAAAAACTGAACTTTTAATACTTCCGTGCACTGATCTAAATACAACAATGAAAATGAAGAATGATTTTGGTTGGATCATTGCAGAGAGAGAGGGGGTTGTATCCGTGTTTCCAAACACCAAACGTAAGCTTGTCACCACAAGATCATGGGATTTTCTTGGAATGCCTCTAACAGTAAACAGGAACCATCAATCTGAGAGCGACATCATAGTGGGTTTGTTGGACACAGGTAAATTAAAGCTGGAAAAGCTCCCAGTATCCAGATTTCCTTGTAATCATTCATGGGAGTAAACTCATAAAGGTTAATTCTTTCAGGAGTTTATCCTGAATCTCCAAGTTTCGATGACAAAGGATATGGGCCGCCTCCGTCTAAATGGAAGGGTAAATGCGAAGTAGGTGCTAATTTCACTGGCTGCAACAAGTAAGATTGTCATTCCATCCCTCCCTCTTTGTTTGTTTATTTGGTTAATTTTGCATTAATAAAATCTTCAATATAATTCACTAGCTACATCCAGTGTTATATGGGCTGGGCCAGGCCTGGGTCCTAGACCCATATTTAGGGTTGGGCCTGCATTGACCCTAGACCCGGCCCAGAGAACCCATATTCCAGATCTTCTAATAGATAGCATTACCATTTACCAGCTAGTTTAATTTTGATTTGATAGGAGGTTACCCATTTACATACCTACTGGATATTGGAATATGTGGCCTTGTGTTGTGAATGTTTTGACTTTAAAAAGTAATTTCTCCACCATCCCAGATGTATATATTTGATCATCAGAAAGTCAGGGTCTATCTAATTAATGGTGGAAAAATTTACCATTAGAACTCCAACTTTTGTAATGCATATTCATGGGTTTTCAACAAATTTTGAATCCTTCACCTGTATAACTCTGGCAGCAAGCTCATAGGTGCAAGGTCCTACAGCATTCAAATCAAAATTTCCGACCAATCTCCAGCAGATACCGAAGGGCACGGAACACACACATCATCTACGGTTGCAGGTTCAGCAGTCAACCATGCTAGCCTCTACGGGATAGGCAGAGGGACGACACGAGGCGGGGTGCCGTCGGCCCGCATCGCCATGTACAAGGTCTGTTGGTACTGGTGCTCGGACATAGACATCTTAGCTGCATTTGACGATGTCATCAGCGACGGTGTCGACGTGCTCTCCATTTCTATCGGCGGTTCTAGCATTCGAAATTACTTCAACGATTCACTAGCCATCGGCTCCTTCCACGCTATGAAGAAGGGCATCTTCACTGCTTGCGCCGCTGGAAACCAAGGGCCCTATGCATTAACTGTGTCCAATGTCGCACCCTGGATCATGACTGTGGGCGCCACTGGTATAGATAGGAAATTCAGGACAGAAATCAGGCTTGGCAATGGCATGAAGATCTATGTAAGTAGTGAATGTGTTTCAACTTTCAAATCTTTCTGGGTTAAGCCATGGCTTGACCAGTTATAGTACTCTTGTATCAGGGACTTTCCCTTAACACATATGCACCAACGAAGCAGATGTACCCTCTAACGAGCGGCACCAAAGCAGCCAACTACACTGATGGCTATGAAGCTTACTTTGCAAGGTTGTATTCTTGAACAATTAACCTAGCTTTTCTCCTGGTTGCTTTGCTTAGAGTACTGACAAAGTTCATGGCTGTCTGTATGTCTTCCATTTCAAAAATCACAGTTCTTGCTACTCGGGAACTATGGGCCAGGAGAAAGTGGAAGGAAAGATAGTCTACTGTGCCTCAGGCCAGGGAATGTTTCTAGGCGACAGGCAAGACCATACAGTCAAAGAATTGGGGGGTGTTGGGACAATCATAGCAGGATCGGAATTAAATGACACTGCCTTCTCTTACGTTCTTCCTGCGTCCCGTGTTGATCTTAAGTCCGGCGATCAGATTGATAGATACATCAACACCACCAAGTAATTCCCTAATATGCCATAACTTTTGCACTCTTTCTTTTGATTTTAGTACAAATTTTTGCTATCCCAACTGTGTTAATCCCTACTATATGTGACCCATGTAATCCTGCAGGAACCCTCAAGCCATTATATACAAGACTAAAGAAGTGAAAGTTAGTGCCCCTTTTGTGGCATCCTTCTCATCTCGAGGCCCCAATTACCTCAGCCCAAGGATCCTCAAAGTAATCTCTCTCTCTCTCTCTCTCTCTCTCTCTCTCTCTCTCTCTCTCTCTCTCTCGCTGAAATTGAAAATGTTGTTCACTTGGATGAGCAGCCGGATATCACAGCTCCGGGGGTGGACATACTAGCCGCTTATACAAAATTGGCGTCAGTGACTGGGCAACCGTATGATGACCGGTTCTCTTTGTTTAATATAGTATCGGGCACATCAATGGCTTGCCCTCATGCTGCCGCTGCTGCCGCCTACGTCAAGTCCTTCCATCCCAACTGGTCCCCGGCGGCAATCAAGTCTGCCCTAATGACCACCGGTAAGTCTTTCGCATGTTTGACCTTAATCCTTACTCCCAACCCTACTATATACAACCAACCACTCGTTTCAACTAACAGAAAGAACGAGAATAGGGAAAACTTATGCATTCTTCTTTCATGGCTTGACTTCGGATTAATCGTAAAAGTTTAAGTCATGTTTGGTTTCCTCCTCTATGCCTCCTTTTAATTCTAATGAGAAAGAATGGACAAGAATGAATAGCATTAGAACGTTTTGGCTACAAAATTATTGCCCTGTTTCTCATTCTTTTTAGAATGAAAAGTTAGTCTATAACTCAAAAATTAAGGTAACCTGTAGCATAAAAAATAATCATATCGGGTCTTGCTCATTTTCAATCTTTAAAGAAATTCTATGCCAGTGGTAGGTCTACAAAATTGTCGTCATAGATGTTTAGTGGTGGACTACCATGAAAACACAACGGACGGACATTGACCGTGGCCATCTGCCCCTAAACATCTATGCCAACTGTTTTACAGACCTAGGCATTTGGTTCACTTAGAATAATTCACTTTTTAAGAAAAAAAACATTTGGTTCATAGCAATATTTTCTCAGCCCATTTTTACCCATTCTTGTTCATTTTATAATTTCATCTTGGTAAGAATGAGAAAGAATGAGGGCTAAACCAAATACGGCCTTAACCCTTGTCTCTATTTCTGCTTCTTGTTTCAGCCACTGCAATAAAGGTTAGAAATCGGGACGCTGAATTTGCATATGGGTCTGGCCATATCAACCCAGTGAAAGCGCTCAACCCTGGCCTCGTCTATGATCTTCAGATAAGCTCCTACATTCGCTTCTTGTGCAGGGAGGGCTACAACAGCACAAACCTTCACCTAATCACAGGTTGGAGCCATTTGGATTGCCAAAAATTCCAACCAGCTCGTGGCCATGATGGCATCAACTACCCAACAATGACCCTTCCACTACCCCACCCTGCAAAAAATTTTTCAGCTGTTTTTAAACGAATAGTTACAAATGTAGGGACTAACAGCTCAGTTTACAAGGCAACAGTGAAATCGCCCGAGGGTCTCTCTATCTCCGTTTTCCCCAATACTCTGGCCTTCAACCGGGTGTACCAAAGGAAAACTTTCAAAGTCGTTATCAAGGGTAAGCCCCTAAGAAAGGAAACTCCATTTATTTCGGCGTCTCTGGAATGGAGCGACTCAATTCACAGAGTCAGGAGCCCTATCGTCGTTTATAAGATCTCAGCGTACCGGGTGACCAGTTAGCTTAGTTTCTTTTTGGTGCCCACCAAACAAATTGCTCTGGGAGTTGTTGGCACAGATTGCATCAATAGGCTTAATCCCTGCTATAGGTTCAGAGTTTAGACTTTATATTTTCAATCCCCACATCTTTTTAGTATTTTTTGTATTCAGATTAATCAATAATGTTAGCTAAATTTAATATAAGTTTTCTTCAATAGCTTCTTGTGACTCGATTTAACTTATTTTTCATTGCTGTTTTTCATAAATCATAAATTAATTAACAGTAAATCTTTATTTCACTTGAACTGTTCTCAGTTATTCCATCAGAACGTACCGAGCCAACAGAGATACGCTCGGAGCATACATGATACATGAACACAGAAGTCACAAGTAAACATACACAGACACATGGGTTTCACTTAATTAGCACATACACATACAATTTCTCTACTTCTTGCAGACAATTCCTCGACCACTTATGCCGCTTCCACACTCCATATCTGGGTATTCAGAAGCAGCAACCAGAATAGGCAGCTGCCCTCGCCGGAAGCGAGCGACGGGGCAATCAGTGGAGAAGAGACTGGACGAAGAGAATTCACGTACACCACCTATAACAGGCATTACGCTTGATATCTTTACCCTGTTAGTGTAGTTACTCCTGTATGTCTGACCCAACACGCCATTAACGTCATCACTCAGAGAGTAGAATTTGAAGCCAAGCTCGAGATGAGCAAAGCAATCCTCACTGGTAATACCATAGTTGTGAACTCGAGATTCTTCTTGGGTGATAGGAACCACAGTTGCTGTGATTTTGAAGTTCCTTTCCACTTCAACCGTGACGGCGTTGGCGCTTCTGGTTCTAGTGACAGAAACACTCGGTGCCACTTTGGGCTGCCACTTTACCCCTTCAACTTCTGGAAGGATGATGGGTTCGCCATTGAAGACAAGGGCGAGACGATCAACGGAATCGTCCCATGTCGAGGTCTTCAAGGCACCAACGTAGATTTGATGGGTGTCAAAGAGAACTCCAATGGCCTGGACCCAGGTGAAGTCCCTGTGTAAAGTCGGATTCCGCCGGCCAACGAAATGGGCATTGATGTGGAGATTGGAGTCAGAAACAAGGCAGAAGTCGCGATCTTTCTTGCCGTGGAAGTAGAAGGTGATGCCATCTCCGCCTATGAATCTGGGGTCTTGGCACACAGCTCCCGGAATATCACAACCTGACCGAACGCATTTGTATCATCCATGAATAAGTTCTTCAAATTAAAAAGGATAAATGGATGAAGAGAACTATATATACATATCCGATCTATACCTGAAAAAGAACTATACAAAACTTCAACCAACTTAATCTGGTGGCTAGCTCTTGGGTTTGGAAAATCATGCATGCCAATTTGTATAGGGTTGGGTAGAGTTGATCAGAGACCAGTATATAGCTAGGTAGCTATAGCAGTCAAGCCAGCCGGTGCAATTGACAACACAAATAAAGATGGGTTTATGAGAAACAGTAGAGATATGGGAAAGAAAATAAGGACTTACTGCAAATGGGTTTGCAGGATACGCAGTCAACCACACAGGAGGTGGGACAATTCACAGGGCATTTGAACTGCTGATTGTAGCAGGCTGGATACCCACTCCCTTTGCACTTTGCTTTCACTATAACACTCTTTTTTTTCACACTGTTATTCCCGTCCCCATTATTTTGTCCATTGCCATTGTTATTTCCATTCCCATTCCCTCGTCGTCCATTACCATTTCCAGGAGCTGCTTCAGCCAAGACTACCATAAGGATGAGGAAAACACAAACAAGGTACCTCATAGGTCGAGCCATGGTAGCTTTTGAAACTTCACAGCCCAGAACTGGTTAAGATACTAGATTGGTGTGAAGAAGGATTGTGAGCATAAGGCCCCTTTTATAGAAGCCAATTTGGTAATAGTTGGCTGTTTGTCCATGTGGAGTGAAGGAGCTGCTACGTTACATGTGGGAGTGCAAAGCCCTAACTTCATGTGGTCTCTCATCATTTCCTTGGTCAACTGCTTTTTTTATAACCTATCTTTGCCTGCTATACGTTCTTAGTAGCTTCTTTAGTTACCTGCATGTGATACCAACAAGGCGGTAGTAAAATACTCCATAAAAGAAAATATACACAAGAAATACTTTGATATCACGGAGGCTGCTATGAGAAGCCAGAAAATAAAATGTCTATATTTCATATGACCCCTCACCTTGGGAAGCTCAACAGCCACGCTACCCTTAATAAACAAACTTCATCAATAAAAAGCATAAATCAAATGGTTCAAATTGATTTATCTGATCAAAGCAACCCCGAAAGAGTGAAATAGACTTAGGTAGCGCTTGATAACGTTTTTAAGAGGTCTGAAATCTCAAAACATTACTTCCGCAGGCCATCATTGTATGCGCTCAGATGCATTTCAGTGTGTCCAAAAGTTTAAAAATGCCCCAGATAATATCTGAATAGACAATGCATGTCCCCTTTTAAATTCAAATTTCTTCTCATTCTTGCTCTCGAACGACAAACACTTGCTCCACTGCAAACCACCATACATTTTCTTAACAGCGGCATTCAATTTCTCTCTCCCTCTCCTTCTTCCTCTCTCCCTCTCTCTTTCTCTCTCTCTCTATACCACTATCGTCGTCTCCACCCCATTCTCTGCCTCTTCGACTAATGTAAAATTAATGAAAAATAGAACACCAAATTAATTATTAATTATTAAATATTTTAATAGTTTTTAAGATATTAATTTGCTAATTATTAAATATTTTTTAATTAAATCATAGAATTTATTATTATTTTAATTCTTAATAATTTATAAATGTATACATATTTCCAATTTTATTCTTTTTTAACAAATTATTTTATTTTTCGTAATGTTTATTTGTATTAATTATTAATTATAATTTTTATTAATTACTAAATATTTTAATAGTTTTAATTTTATAATTTGATCATTATTAAATATTTTTTCATTGTTTCATGGACTTTATTACTATTTTCGTTATTATTTTAACTCTTAATAATTTTTTTTTAATTTATAAATTTATATATATATATATATATATATATATTTCAATTTTATTCTTATCTTAATAAATTATTTTTTTATTTTTTATAATCTACTCATATTTTTCAATATTATTTTGAACTTAATAAATTATTTTTTATTAAATAATACAAATTGAACTCAAAATTATCAAATATTCTGTTTTAGGGATAAAATAGTAAAATCAGGAAATTTAAGATGTTGAAGGGTTGGTCCAACACAAAAAACCTTATCTATTCAAAACCTCTAAAAAGTAGAAAAGCATCTATGCCTCTTTTCAGATTTTAGACACTTTTAATATATTTTTAACTTTTCAGATTTCAGATTTATCATATGCCACCCATAATATTGAAAAATTATGAACTTTTATATAAAAACTCTTTACTATTTCACCAAAACCTAGGAATGGCAAGGAGTGGGTTCTGGGTGGGGACCACACTCCCCATCCCTGACACCAATTTTTTATTAAGGTTCCATTTGGAAGGAGTGCAAATACAAATATGTAAAGTGCAAAACCTTATATTTTTATTATTTTATATGTATCTGTACTCTACATATTTGCATTTGTACTCTTTCCAAACTGATCCTAAGGTTCAATTTGGAAAGAATACAAATACAAATATGTACAGTATAAATACGTACAAAATATAAGGTTTTGCATTTAACATATTTGCATTTGTACTCTTTCCAAACTAAGCCTAACTTCTTGTCTCCAATCCCAATCCCTGTTGAGGAGACCTCCAGACGGGTTTCCCATCCCAACTCCTATTCTTGGTAGAGCAGTCTCCATACAGATCAAAGAGTCCAATTACCAAGCAAAGAGGAAAAAATTTCCATCTCTACAAAACCGGCCCTAATGGAGGTATAAGTAACTTGACTTCTTTTCTTCATTTTTTACTCGGGTATTTGTTTTTTTTGGATCATTTACTAAACACCCCTTATAATTTCATGGATTTACTAAAACCTACCTTATAGTTTGTGTTTAATTAAAACACCCTGTATAGTTTTGACCATAATGTCCATTTGAATAAATTTAACTAAAAGAACATGAAAATGAAAATATCATTTTTGCCCCTAGTAAGATAAGCAACAACTCTATTTTGATATATTTGGCCAATTTTGGTTTCTACAAAGAAGTGTTAGGGGTACTTTTATAATAAACAATCATGGGCCCATGCCCTTAAAACATTTTCCACTTAGCTTAGGTGATCATGTTACTATTTTCAAATGGTAAAAGAAACGCTTATTAGTTTATTAGTGAAAGATCCATTAAATAAATAGGTTGCAAATTACATAGATATTTTAATAAAATAAAAACTATAAGATAAGTTTAAATAAGTCTGTAAACTAGAGGGAGTGTTCTAATAAATAACTCCTTTTTTTATATAATATATATATATATATATATTTTATAAAACCAAAGAAGATGCTACACAATACAGGGGGTAGCACGACCCCACGAATCACACAATCAAAAGATGCATAAGTTGTATAATATCTGTATTCTCAATAGGAGTGATCATTTATACCCAGGAATTTCCGAACCAGGAAATATAAAGCTATAGGCAAAAGACCCAGCGCAGGCCCGGCTGGGTTCAAATTTCAGTCCAGAGCTCTGGGCCGGGGCTATAGCACTTATTATATGATAGGTACTAAGACCGGCTCGGCCCTAGATGACTCTTAATTCTCACCAACAAATTCTAATCTTCCTATTATAAATTAGTTTTAAAATAAATAGATAGAATTAACAAATTAAAGGTAAGTGAATCAAATAAATAATTGTAGTAAATCAAAACCATGTTCCCTTAAGGCTTAACAATGAAAAAAATTACTTTCATTTTTTTATAAGACCGGATGGGGCTACACAAGAGGGGTAGCACGTTCCCACAAATCTACTTTCATTAATTAATATATTTGATCTCTTGCATCTAAAGACATTAAATGAACCGGATGAATCGTCCGGCTGGTTGCTTGAAACAAGGAGAAGCCGGCCGGTGGAATTGAACTAAGAAAATGGACAACATAGGAGATATTTTTTTTCTAGTCAACTGACTGAAATCTAAAGACGAGAAGTCAGGCTTTCTAAATAGTCAGCTGCAATATTTTTTCGCCGGTCAACACTCAATAAATCTTATACCAACCAGGATAAGTTTCTCCAATCTAATCCACTGGTTTGAGACTTTGGTCCTATTTGGTTGAACCATCTAATCCGAGCTACATCAATAACCAAAAAGAAAAGTTTGAGTTCAACCTTTCAAGACTTCAAGATGAAATTTCACAAAACCCGGTTAATTGTTCAGTTTTATTTTCGACCAATGGAACGTATTGCAGCAAGATTCAAAACGGATGCACGCGCTAGCGCGACAAGCAACGGCTTTGAATAGCAATGGGTTTATGAGAAATAGAAACCGAAACTTCATACTAGTAGAGCTACAGTTACAAAGCCCCATATGTTTCAAATTTGTCTTTCATTTATGTTAGAACTAGATTTTAGGGTAAAATACAATAATCTCCCTTAAAGTTTCTGACAATCATAAAAACCTCCTCGGCCTATAGTTTCATTTTAATAAATATCTTCCTAAACTTTTGAGAAATTCAACAAAAACCTCCCTTCTGTAACTGTTTCAGACGGAAAATGTTAAATTGATGCACCAGTTTTTTCAGTAATTTTGTATATAAAATAATTTATAAAAGGGTAGAATGGGTATTTGGAAAAAACTGGTGCATCAATCTAACGTTTTCTGTCTGGGACAGTGACGGAAAGGAGGTTTTTGTTGAGTTTTTCAAAAGTTCAAGGGAGGTATTTGTTAAAATGAAACTATAGGAGAGGTTTTTATGATTGACAGAAACTTTAGGGGAGGTTTTTGTATTTTACCCTATATTTTAATATTGGTTATCAACATATAACCTACACAAGAAACATCATGATTGCTTTCAAGGTTCAAAGTATTTCAAATCCACCAGGATTACGTTAAATACTAAGGACATCTAGCCTCATTTTAAGGTTAATACCTGTGCCAGACGATGTTCATTTTCCTTCATCAACAAGTAAAAATAATGGATTTTTTATTTTAACATTTTTTACATAATTTTTTTATATTGTTAATAATGTAAGATGGATGAGCTCCTGAAAGGTCCTCGTACCCTATTTTTAAAACCAACTGATTAAGTTGTTAGGATCTCTAACTCGTACAAGAGACTTGGGCTGTATTTGGTTGCGGTGCAATTTTATTAGTACTAATATAAATGCATAGAAGTATAAATGAAAACAATGGAAAATTCTTATACAACTTTGTTTTATGTTTACTTTATTGTCTTAATTTATTTTATTTGTACTGCAATCTAACAAAATAAGATAAAAGCGGAAATAAAAATAGGTCAAAATTTACACTGAAATAATTTGTGCTGTCATAGTTTTTGCATCAGTACAAATTTATTTGTATCGCAATCAAATTTTCAACTATGATGGGAGGTGGTGGATACCTAGTTGCTTATCCTATGAAAAAAAGAAAAAAATCATAAAAAACTTTTTGGATTCAATTTAAAATCTAATTTTAGACTATGATATCGATAAAGGGCATGCTATATATATATATGGAAAATCTTGTAACCAATCAACCCATATCATAAAAACATCTCTATTAGGCACTTCATCTTTCCATGCAGCTGAAACATCCAAGGTCACCCATGGAATATTTATTTGGGAATATTTATTTGGGTCAAAACAAGCCAACCCTTTATAAATTAAAGTATGCATTGCCCGCTTATGAACAATTTGAACTTGAATTTCATCTGGATAGTATCAGACCTCGGGCTGAGACCTCTGCCCGGTATCCTGGCCCCCGTCCACACCTAATACTGAGCTTCTTGGCCATGGAGTCACTCAAGCTGGAAACTAATTCACACACAACAAAAAACAGATCATCCATCCCATCCCAAATCCCTTGCAGCAATGCTTAAGGAAGCCAGTGAGGAATAAACCAAAGGTTTTTCATAATTCTGCAAACCAAACTCTATCCATATATCTACACAATCAATCCGCAGTACAATAGAAATATCAAGACTAGATGACAAAAGCATATTGCATGCACTCTAGATTCAAGGATTCTCAAATTTTAGGCTGTGTTTGGTTGCAGTGCAAATGTACAAAATGCAAAATTCTTGTTTATTTTGTTTTGGATTTTACTTTATTATGTTTCATGTCTTAATTTACTTCATTGTACTGCAATCAAATAGAATAAGCTAAAATTTGAAACAAAAATAGGTCAGTATTTACACATCATTTGCACTGCCATGGTTTTGCATCAGTGCAAATTTATTTGCATTGCAACCAAACACAGTCATAGGCTTAGTTTGGGAGTACAAATGCAAATATGTAGAGTGCAACACCTTGTTTTTTGTATTATTTTGTATGTATTTATACTGTATATATTTGGGTATAAATACAAATATGTACAGTGCAAACACATACAAAATACATGGTTTTGCATTCTATAAATTTGCATCTGTACCCTTTCTAAATTGAGCCTTACATGCAAATGTGAGACCTTTTATCAGTTGATCCAGACTCTCAATTGGAGGCTTGACCATTGCGACTTATTAATGGCCTTGCTCTCATTAGTAGGGGTGTCAATCGACCGGTTTTGGTTTGGATCCACTCCAATCCAAACCTTATCAAATCGGATTTGGACGGTCCATTATAATTATTGGATTGAGCCAATCCAAAATAAATTGGTCCATATTCTTATTGGTTTGAAATAGACCTAAACCAAATTTCCAATAATCCAATCACGATGCCAAACCCTTGTCTAATTTGAAATCAATCAAAACTAAAAACAACATAAAATCACTTTTATGAAAGTACTTTTACGAAAGCACTTTTACGAACACATTTTTATAAAAGCACTTTTATAGTAAATTTATGAAAAGTATTTTTACAAAAGCGCTTTTATAAAAATACTTTTACAAAAGTACTTTTATGAAAGAACTTTTACAAAAGTAGTTTTATGAAAGTGCTTTTACAAAATCACTTTAATAAAAGCACTTTTACAAAAGTACTTTTATGAAAACCCTTTTATAAAAGTACTTTTAAACAAAAGCACTTTTATAAAATCACTTTTATAGAAGTACTTTTATAAAAGCACTTTTACAAAAGCACTTTTATGGGAGCACTTTTAGAAAATCACTTTTATGAAAGAACTTTTATGGGAGCACTTTTAGAAAATCACTTTTATGAAAGAACTTTTAGGAAAGAACTTTTATGAAAGTACTTTTATAAAAACACTTCTGCGAAAGTACTTTTATAAAAGTACTTTTACGAAAGCATTTTTATAAAAGTGCTTTTATAAAAGTACTTTTACAAAAGCACTTCTACAAAAGTATTTTTGTAAGTCTATGAAAGTACTTTTCGAAAAGTGCTTTTACAAAAGTACTTTTACAAAAGCACTTTCTCGAAGTACTTTTCGAAAGTACTTTTATAAAAACATTTCTACAAAAGTACTTTTATAAAAGTCTATGAAAGTACTTTTCGAAAAGTGCTTTTACAAAAGTACTTTTACAAAAGTGCTTTTTAAAAGTACTTTTACAAAAACACTTTTCCGAAGTACTTTCAACAAAGTGCTTTTGTAAAAGCACATTTATGAAAATATTTTTATCAAAGTACTTTTACAAAAGTAATTTTTCAATGTTAAAAGTGCTTTTATATTATTTTTGATATTTCATTTGGTTTGGATTGGACCCAATCCAATATTGGATTGGACCCAATCCAATATTGGATTGGATTTGATTTGATTTGTATTGGATTTGGACTGGATTAGGTCCAGTCCATTTATAAATGAACTCACATTGGACTGGATCTAATTGGACCAAATCTGTCCAATTCACACATCTACCATTTAGGTGTCCCACTCTCTATGAATGCCCCCATTATCTTCCCATCCTTGATCCGATATGATCCAAACTTTGTCTTAGGTGATGCTGGATCACTGCCTCTAAATAGCACTGTATCTCCAACATTGTCTCCATAGAACTTCCATGAAAGACCAAAGGAGGGAGAGTAGAAATATGGAAGGTAGTCATACTCATGGATAGTCTTTCCTTCCTCTCTAGCTTTGATAGCCTGCATGGATCAAAAATCAAGGAAACGTTATTATTGGATCCATGAATATGAATTCTTGCAATAGTGTTTCAATATAGTATTTAGAAGCAATTAAAGGGTAGGCCGCATTTTAAGTCAACTTTAGTCAGGGATTCCACAAGTTATTTTTGTAGAGAGAGCACTGATTTGCAGAACGAAACCTTTCACAGCCTGCTCTGCTGATTTGCTAGGGCATGATCAAACATGCTCTGCTCTCCCCATCTCATTGTACAACTTCATAGGAAAGGTAGTAACATTACCTACAACATACACATCGGGAACATTTATTCTGAAAAATCCATCGGTTGTGCAATCAAACAGGCCACATCATAAAATGTATATTGCAAAGATATAAGCTATGCCATGGCAAGACTATTTGAGTTTGATGTAGAACATTTACTTGAAAACAAGGACATATCAACCTTTCAATGCAGAAAAGCATATATCAACATTAGGGGTGTAAGCGAGCCAAACCAACTCATGAGCTACTCAAATTCAACTCATTAAATACTTGAACTCAGCTCGAAGATTATTGAGTCAAGTCAAATAAACTTGACTCGAGTCGAGTGGTTAGTCAAGCCAAGTTCAAGGTTCATAATACCCAATTTGAGTAAGTTGCAACGTAGTTGAGTTTCTAATAAAATATTATTTTTAATATATATTTTATTTGCAATATAAATAAATATTGATTTTTATATTAATTTATTTATAATATAAATAAATAAATAAATTTATAATCAAGTTTCATAAAATATTTTTATTTATAACATTTTATAATATTGATTTATTTATAATTTTTAATAAAATTTTATTTATAAATGGCTCAAGGTCGATCTCAAATAGATCACAAGCATTGAGTCAAGTCGAGTCCGAGTATGAAACTCAAAACTCGATCTAGCTCCAGTTGAGTTTCCAGCTTCAAGTTTTTGAGTTGAATTCGAGCTTGAGACAACAAAACTAAACTCAACTCATTTCCATTACATACTTATTTCGATGCAATAGGGACTAGGGAGGATTAATCTACCATTTAATCACCACACTCCCAGCCCTTTTTTAGCATATTTAACTATGTTAATTTCTTATTTTATTGATGTTTTGTTATTGATATATTGATGTACATATTCAGATCATATATTTGAACTTGGTTGAGATGTTGAAGCACCAAACCCTAGGCCAATTTAATCTAGAGTTAACCCAAATAGTTGATTCTATTCTAGGGTTTCATGGCTGAAATATTAACAACCCATGAACACCACTTAGTGGTGGTTTAAAAGGTCTAATTTTCAGGGGTTTGATGAGACAACATGTTAACCAATTCAGCCCATGCTTGAAAACCCAGCTAACTGAGGTTAAAGAATGACTAGCCCAAATCAACCTAACATTAGTATATGGGTTGAACTAGTTTTTGTAACTGGGCCCATATTCAACATCTTAATAACTAAAACCATTATTTCTTATGGGATGGTAATATATTAACCTTAATGGTCTTGGGTAGAGGTGTAAAGTGGGACGTGTCAGGCCGGCACGGCACGGCTCGCGGGTGGCCCACACAAAGTGCGGGCTGTCACGGGCCATGCCACCCTCCCCAGTGAATAGTTTGGGGGTCAGCCTGACACGGCCCATGGCCCAAGCCCGTGCAAGCCTATGTCGTGCCGTGCCGTGCCCCGGGCATGAACCGGGCCAAAGTTATTTTTGCATATTTATTTAAAAAATTGAAAAAAAAAATAAAATTTTAATTTTATATGAACTTTGATGTATATAATTGCTTATATATACAATAATTAAATAAATTAGTATAATAAAGTTGAAACAATTGTTTATTTTATTAATATAGTATATACTATATATTATTATATAATTATAATTTATATAATATATTATATATTATATACAGAAATATATAGAAATAGGATATATGGGCCATGCTGGGCCCACGGCCCGGCCCACTTGGTCATTCCATGTTGGCCCAACCCATGGACCTAAAACCCTAGGCCCAGCACGGCCCACGTGCCATCGTGCCGGGCCACGGGCGGCATGGCCCGATTTACACCTCTAGTCTTGGGCTTCCAAAGCCTTTTATGTTCTGTTGATTGTATATGATAGTTTGTGTGATGTGATTAGGGTAGTAGGTCAGGTCTAATTAGAATTGGGACCAAACCGATTATTAATTGGGACAAAATTATAGACCCAAAACCATCCCAATTAATAGTCGAGTTGATTAGGTTTAGACCCATTATAATAAAAACTATATCTTTTATTTAAATGATAACTTAAATTTTAAATTTTGATAATGTAACCTTAACAAAATTGATAAAAAAATACTAAATCATTTATATGTTAATAAATGAAACATTTTTAAATAATATTATCTTATATAATATTTATCAAACTTACAATTTTAAACAAAAAAGATGGGCACTATAAACTAGTAGGAGGAGCCTATCCTAAAATGGAATTCTCTCATAGTACTTTGGGCCTCCTAATATGATGGGTCAACATTTACCTATTATAAATATTTACTTTAAAATAGCTATAAACCTTGTCTAATGGAGGCTAAAGAGGAAATTCATACAAGCTAAGAGAATAAATGATCATTCACATAAAGTGGTGGGAGTTTATAGTTAAAACAGATGGCTCCATGAACCTATGCAATTCCTCACACTCTTAGAGGCATGTAAATGTCTACATCCTTGATAAAGAAGGAAATATCAGAAATAAACAAATGGGAGTGAACCCTAGAGAAAAGCCAATTCTAGAATGTGTTACATGAAATAATAAATTGGTTGTGGACTAATGTATCTCTTAAACATTTATTAGAAATGACACATGGACATTTTCTAAACTTTTGATGACAGCAAATTTAAGGATCCCAACTATACCGACTGGAGACATAACCTTAACATTGTCTTTGCATCTAAAGAGCTGGATAAAATTGCGAACCAAAAATCTCCAGAACCTTTTATTGAAAGAGCTAAGGAAGCTAGAAAGAAAGAGCATAAAAAATGGGAGGAGAAGAACTCTCTTGCCTATTGCTATATATTACCATCCCTAGACAATTATACCCAAAGTAATTTGACAATGTTGCCTCTTGTAAAGAAATTCTAGATAGTTTAAATCCATGTACAAGCATACTCATTCTACTTGACAAAAGGTTCTCAAGTCACTAATGACCACAAAGATGACTAAGAACTAATCAGTCCATGGCCATGTTATGAAAATGGTTGTTTTATAAATGAACTAGAAGCTCTTAGTAGTAAATTGAATGTTGATATAAAGGTTGATGATATCCTTAATTCCCTACTTCCTTCATTTAATTAATTTGTCATGAACTACAACATGAACAAGATAAAGGTCACATTGCAAGAGATCAACAATATATTGTAGAGAGCCAAGGAACTAATAAAGGACGCACAGTTTTTATGTTTTTTTAAGGTGGCAGAAGGCTAGCAAGAAAAAGAGAAAAGGGAAAAAATCTCAAAAGAACGCTAAAAAGTCCAATGGGTAGAAGAAAGACAAGTTATCTATATTGACCTATGTGCTTTTTAATGATAACAAACTCATTCATAGCACTAATGATGTAACAAGTTTACAGGTAACCTAAGTAAGCTTCTCTAAGCTATAATTGCTTTAAGCACACTTGTCGATGAAGAAGAACAGTAAGTGGAAGCGCTACTTGATTTAGTTGCCTGAGTTTCACATTTCCAACATCACCAATCTCTCCAATGAAGATGATTTAAGGAAATTCAATCATGAAAAAGCTACAAAAAGTTTTGAAGACATTAGAGCTGCTTAAGAGGATCCATGATATAATAACTCAACAAGGAGGAAGTATACGGCCTTGGTTTAAGAGTCATATCGTTAGGTTCTTAATGCTATTAGTTGCTTGAGTTGCACTTCTTATGATGCTCAACAAGACCAAACTCAGTTAAGTCAACTTTAGAGGTTTCTAGGCGTTCTTGGACTTAAATAAGCATTAGATTCTTAAAAGTCAATATTAAATGTCAAAGGAAGAACCCCAAAATCTTTGGACAAATGTTTCCAAGGTTTCAAAGAGTTGGGATATCATTAGTTAACTAGCCAAAGTTAGTCAACTAAACTTAACAACTAAGGCATAAATTGCTCAAAATCTATTGTATAGTTAACAACTCAAAAATGTAAAGTGATTACCTATAAAAGTTGAGGCATAGAAGGCAAAACTATACAATGTAGTCAACTATCCTAAGATGTATAGTCAACTACCTATGACAATTGAGGCATGAAATGCTAAACTATGCAATATAGTCGAATACCCATTGTCAACACAAGACTTTTGCTTATCCCCTTCCTAAACCTCCAACACATACCTTGAAATGGTGACTGATTTACGGTTTAGTGTTTGATATTGGTTTGTTCACAATATGCTAAATTGGACTAAGGCATTAGTATTCATTCTGATGCATTGTATTGGCTATTGATTGTTTTGATGCATTAGTATTATTTGGAGATTCCTGATGCATTCGTATTGTTTTTAGGGCATTTGTATTCTTTTAATGCTATTTCTATCCACAAGCTTCTTGCTAGAATGCGATGTGGTGCAGCCTTGAGCATGACATAAAACATATGATTCTGGATAGCTCATTTGCAAGAAATTGAGCTATGGTTTGCATCCTTTTTGGACATTTGTAAACTTCTTTTTTTCAGAATTTTAATCTAATCATTTTGTCAAAATATGTAATTTAAATTTTAAAATCCTAGCAAAAGGTTGTAGGTGAATTCTAGAATCATGCTTTAGAATTGATTTTACACTATATTCATAAAATTCAAACCCAACATGAGGATTCTTACTAAATTTGATGATTTCTACACAAATTTTTAACTCTAGAATGCTATCCAAATGATGACCTCTTACTTATCCAAGTTTTAACTATTTGATGAGTTATATTTAAGAAGGATTAGGAACATAAGAACCATGAGCGTTGAGGTTAATTGGTTCAAGCCCAGTAGACAAAAAAAGAAAAGCGATTCTTTTTATTGCTAGAATTCATTGAATATCCATAGCCCACCTTAGTAAAGTCTAAGATGGAAATGCCATCTTAGCCCCTGCAAGTCCAAGAAAAACTACATCACATCTCAAGGGCTAATTTAATGGGGCCTCTATAGATTCTACAGTGGGCAAACAATAGATAATGAGGGGTAATTTGGCACGACCTAGAAAATAAAGGTTATATGGACGCGATCTGCCTGTAGGATGACAACTCAGCAAGGGGAGCCTAGTCAATAATATCCAGAGTTCAGATGTTTGGCCACCTCAGCATAACGCCACTTCGGCGCATAATCGAGTTCGGGGCCCAAGAACCGAAGTGACACGTAATCAATTCCAGTAGCTACCCAACAGACTCTGAATATTATGGGATCACACCACATAACGGCAAGCCTTATCTTCTCCCCACTCGGATCGGGCGGCGACAATAAGGTTAATTGACTGATACGTTACTCCCCGACTAAAGCGGAAATGGATCTCGTCCATTTAGTCCACAAATCTCATAACTGTTTCGGGAAACCCGCGATAGTTCAGCTATATAAAGGCATCAATCCCTCCATGGTCCAGGTACGCACGATTATTTGCATCCAAGCTCTCTAGCACTCAAATTCTAGCTCACAACCACAACAGAATACTGACTTAAGCATCGGAGCAACCTCCCCAGGTCATCCACCCTGGTCACTCTGATCTTTGTTTTGCAGTTTGCTCCAACTCATCACTTGAGTATGTCCAAGCAACCCTCCAGCTAGGAGCTTCTAGATCGCGTATCATCAATTGACGCCGTCTATGGGATATGATCGAAAGGTCATCCCAATTTTTTATAGTCTCAAACTCAGTCTCAACCTTAATGGCATCATCCATCCACAACGATAAGGGTAACATGAACATCACTGGGGGGCAAGAGAAGCAGATAGTCGCTCCCCAAGGACCCTCAGTGACAATCGGTCAGTTCACCATTCCCCTGACCGCATCCGGGGTCCCATCACTGTTTGCGCCTCACACTACCCAACAAGTGAGTGTCCCGCTCCCCCAGGTGAGCGCCATATTCTCAGAGCCTTCCATGATTCCCCCTGGGATCGGGCACTCCCAATACAGCGACCTCGTCCAAAGCATTCAGACAATGCAGATTCAAATGTAATAGATTCATCAATTCCAACAGTATTATTTTTATCAACAGTATCAACAGCAGTTCCCACCATTATAACCAAGCTAGTCGACGAACAACCGGTGCCAAAACGCCCGCCAATCTCCTCCCCGCAGGGAGAGAACTTCGCAGGTACTGGTCCCTCCTTCGGGACGAACCCCGCCATAGGGTGTTGTAGGTGACCAATGTACTCCCCCTGCTTCCTAAAGAGAAAGGTCGAGGAATAGGCCCGAACCCAACCAGCCCGAGAGGCGCAACCGGCAGAATTCCCATGTGGAGGATCGGCCTGAGGTCCGAGGTGCAGCCTCCAAGGGAGACCCCTCGGTTCCTCGCAGCAGCTAGCATCGGACGCACGATGAAGAGGAAGCAGCGAGGAGAATCTCTGAACTAGCTCACCCTACTATTCGAAGTACGATCGGAGTACCTAACAACACGGAGGCCGACAGTACGAATGTCGCTCCACAAAAAAGCAGCAATGGCGACGTTGCAAGACTCGCTGTTAATCAGCAAGGAATGATCCAATAGCAAAGCCCAGCCATCCAGTAGATCAAGGTTGGAAAAGAGAGGAGGTGAGCTTGGTGGCCATAGGAACAACGCCTATTCTTTTGAGTTGGCCTTCCCCCTATCACCCGAGCTCCTAGCGGCCCCAATGCCGAAAGATTTCAAGGTCCCGCCACTAGACAAGTACGATGGGTCCTTTGATCCTAATGATCACGTGGACGCATTCCAGTCCCAGATGCACCTCGTCGGGGTCGACGACGCTTGTATGTGTGTGGCTTTCTCCACCATGTTCAAAGGAGTAGCTCGAACCTAGTATAGAAATGTTTACGACACACTTCATAACAAGTAAGAAGTGTTCGAAGTCACAGGAGAGCTTTTTGAACGTGGTGCAGAGGGAGGGAGAGTCGGTCCGCAGTTATATCAAACACTTCAACGAGACATGCCTGCAGATATCGGACCTTGACCCAGCAGTACGTCTCACCACAATGCGCAAAGGCATCACCCACAAAGAGTTCAAGTGGCACGTCGTGGCCAACAAACCAAAGAACATCACCGGATTCCTCCAGTTGGCAGATCAGTTTATTAGCACTGAAGAGGAGATAAACCAAAAAACTGACAATCATCCAGGAGAAAAGAGGAAGAGAGAGGAAGAAGTGACTAACAACAAGAAAAGAAAAAAAAAGTAAGTCCCCCAAGTGAAAAAGCAAGTCCCCGAACTCGAGGAGCAAATCCCCCTCGCGAAGTTATAGGTCGGGTCAGCGTTCCAGGACCCCTCTAGTGGAGAGGACGAACTATACTCCCTTGAATGCAAAGCGGGGAGAGATCTTAATGGAAATCAAGGACTCCTCTATCGTCAGATGGCCACCCAAACTCCGTGGAGACCCAACAACCAAGAACCTGAACGTCTATTATCACTTTCATCGGGACCATGGTCACAACACAGAAAACTATAGAAACCTCCACGATGAAATTGAAGAACTGATCCATCGTGGGTACTTGAAAAAGTACATTCTACATGAGGAAAATGAACAGGGGAACCGACAGGGAGATCAGAAAAAAGACACCCCAAAGAGCAGCAGACAAAACGAGCAGCCACCTCGCCTGCTACCAGAAGAAAGACCGATCCGTGGGGTGATTAATATGATCACCGGGGGATCTATTGTAGTAGGGTGCACAATAGCAGCTGGGAGAACATCATTCCGAGAACTAAAGCATGAAGCAAAGAACCCACCCAAGCGGCCTCGGATCGAAGAACCAATGTACTTTACCAAGGATGATGCCCATGGGATCCAGTATCCTCATGACGACACCCTGGTCGTGAAGATGGTCATCTATGACTTTGAAGTAAGGCGGATCTTAGTGGACTCAGGTAGTTCGGCCGATATCCTCTTCAAAGAAACCTTTGACAAGTTGTAGTTACAACAAAGCAACCTAAAACCAACAGATGCCCCACTAGTAGGGTTCAGCGGAGAGGAAGTTAGGCCTATAGGTCGTGTCACAGTACCAGTGGAGGCAGGCACATAGCCAAATATTGTCCGGTTCGAGAACACATTCTTGGTGGTCACTACTCCATCCCCATACAACGCAATCATAGGTCGGCCTATTACGCATGTTTTACACGCAGTAGTGTCGACTTACTATCTTGCGATGAAGTTCCCAACAAATTTCGGAGTGGGAGTAGTACGAGGCGACCAACTTGAGTCCCAGAGGTGTTATGTGGCTGCCCTCAAAGGAAAAGCAAAGTTAGTAGAGGACGTCAAATTGGAGCAACCGGCATACTACAGCGAGGAGCGAGCTGCCCTGATGAAAGAGACAGTCTACATACCGGTGTCTAAAACCGAATCGACCAAGACTCTCCATATCAGTGCACTCGTAAGCGAACCACTCCGAAATCAACTAGTAAATTTTTTACTCAACAATTTAGACGTTTTTACTTGGTCTGCGGTAGAAATGCCCAGAATTAACCCTTGTGTCATAACTCACAAACTAAATGTGGACCCTTTAGTTAAGCCAGTCCGACAAAGAAAACGCAGCCTCACCCCGGAACGGTGGAGGGTAGTCGATGAGGTCGAGAAGCTCCTCGCTACAGACTTCATCAGGGAGGTCCATTACCCGAGCTAAGTCGCAAACTCAGTACTCGTGAAGAAATCCAATGGCAAGTGGCGCATGTGCGTCGACTACATCGACCTGAACAGAGCCTGCCCAAAGGATTGCTTCCCCCTACCCAGAATTGACCACCCGGTAGATGTAACCTTAGGACACGAGTTGTTGAGTTTCATGGACGCCTACTCCAGCTATAGTCAGATTAGGATGGACACGGTTGACCAAGACAAAACTGCTTTTGTAACCGAACTAGGGATCTACTACTATAAAGTTATTCCCTTTGGTTTGAAAAATGCTAGAGCAACCTTCCAACGACTTATAAACAAAATTTTTGAGCCTTTGATTGGCAATAAAGTGGAGTTTTATGTTGATGACATGGTCGTGAAGACCCAGTTCTCTAAATCTTTAATTAACGATTTAGACATTGTTTTTCAAATTTTGAGAAAATTAAATATGAAATTAAATCCGAATAAGTGTGTCTTCGAAGTCACTTCGGGAAAATTTTTTTGCTACACAGTCAACCGACGTGGTATCGAAGCCAACCGAGAAAAGGTAAAGGCAATTATAGATATGAGACCATCTTGAAAAATAAAAGAAGTCCAGAGGCTGACTAGCCAGGTAGCAGCCCTAAGCCATTTCATGTCTAAGTCGGCAGGTCGATGCCTCCCCATCTTTAAAGCAATTAAAAAGAATGAGACTTTCGAATGGATCGAGGAATGTCAACTCACGTTTGACAAGCTCAAAAGGTATCTAAGTACCACCCCAGTTTTAGCCTGACCTGAGGAAGGAGATGTTTTGAAGCTATATCTCTCCATGAGTGACGAGGTAGTCAACTCATTACTAATCAGGGAGGTAGACCGGGTTCAATGGCCCGTCTACTATGTAAGGTACTGCAGGATGCAGAGACCAAATACCCCGACATCGAGAAGTTGGCATACATGCTAGTAGTAGCAGCTCAAAAATTACGTCCATACTTCCAAACCCATACCATCGTCATCCTTACGGATAGACCTCGGAGGCACATCCTACTTAAGCCCGAGGTGTCCGGGAGGTTGACGAAGTGGTCCATCGAGCTTAGCGAGTACGACATCCAATTCGAGCCACGACCAGCGATCAAAGCCCAAGTCTTGGCGAACTTCATAGCAGAATGCACGTTCAGCGCACCGGCCCCTAAACTGACTGAGCCCGCTCACACGTCGGAGGCATCAACCAGTGCAGCACTGGTCCCGGTCGTAGCAGTACCGACCTGGGACGAGGAGCCTTGGATCCTCCATGTCGATGGCTCGTCCAACCAATGAGAAAGCGGTGCGGGACTGATACTGTATGGCCTGAGCGAGGTGAAGTTGGAGTATTCTCTCTGGTTCAGATTCGAGGCATCGAACAAGGAGTATGAGGTGCTAATTGTCAGGCTCAACTTAGCAAAGGAAATGGGAACGAAGCACCTCATCGTCTGTAGTGACTCTCAACTGGTAGTTAACCAAGTCAATGGTGACCACAAAGCTCATGAATTGACTATGGCAGCCTACTTAACAAGAATCAGAGAGATCCTATTGAGCTTCAGCTTCTACTTCATCAGACAAATCCTGAGGTCCAAGAATGTCGAGGTTGATGCTCTATCATGACTAGCAAGAACAAACGACAACACTATGCAGACTGTGTACATAGAGGACCTACCTCGGCCCAATATTCTTAGGGGGCAAAAGAGGCCACTCCCATGTTGCAAGCGAACCGAGCTGGATTGATTATTTGCTCCACGAAACCCTACTTGTAGAACACAATACACCTCGGAGGGTAGAGCATCAATCAGCCAAGTATGTCCTCATAGACGGACGGTTGTACAAGAGATCATTCACGCTCCCCTACCTACGTTGCCTGCGACCCACAGAAGCTGAACTTGTACTTCGCGATATCCATGAAGGTTTATGCAGAGGACACCTGGGGGGTAAGGCCCTTGCCCAAAAAGCATCAAGGCAGGGCTACTAATGGTCCACAATGAAAGCGGACGCACTCGAACTCGTCAAGAAATGTGATAAATGTCAGAGGCAAGCCAACATCCTCCATCAACCTACTGTCGATTTGAAGTATCTTACTACCCCATGGCCCTTCGCACAGTGGGGAATCGACATCCTCGGTCCATTTCCGCCAGCAACCGGAAAAGAGGAAGTTCTTAGTCGTAGCGGTAGACCACTTCACGAAGTGGGTGGAAGCCGAACCACTATTAAGCATTATAGCTTGGAATGTGCAAAATTTCTTTTGGAAAAACATCGTGTGTCATTTCGGACTGTCCAAAGTCTTGATTTCGGATAACGGGAAGCAATGAAGATATTAAATTCTAAAAGTGGTGTGTTGAGATGGGGATTCAGCAGAACTTCACTTTGGTAGCACATCCACAAGCAAATGGGCAGGCCAAAGTAACAAATAGAGCTATCCTCCGTGGGTTGAAAGATCATCTTGCACGAGCTAAAGGGTTGTGGGTGGACAAGCTACCCAGCGTTCTTTGGGCCCACCGGACTACCATCAAGACAGCGACAAGTGAGACCCCCTTCAACCTCACACATGATATAGAGGCGGTGATCCCGGCAGAGGTCGAAGTGCCCACATTGCGACTTAAGGCTTATGATGAGGAAGCAAATAATGACGAGCTCCATACTGACCTGCATCTCATAGAGGAGGTGTGAGACCTGGCTTACATCCGAACTGSGGCATACCAGCAGAAAGTGGCTCGATAATATAACGCCTGGGTCAAGAAGCGGCAGTTTCGTGTCGGTGACCTAGTCCTACGAAAAGTTATGGTACCTTAGCCCGACGTGGGTAAGCTCGGATCGAACTAGGAAGGTCCGTACCATATAAGACGAGTGTATGGGGAAGGCACGGATGAGCTCAAGACTTTGGAAGGAAAATCGGTACCTCGAGCATGGAACATCAACAACTGAAGAAGGTACTATGTATGAGCCCACAACTCCATGTATAAATTACTTAAGAAATCACCGAACTGGTCAAAAAGACGATGAGCTGGAGAGAGGACTATAAGTCACTCCTAGAAGCCTAAGGGCTATGGTGCTGAGCTAATAAGAGACCTCGGCACGATAAAAGTCCTAGTCGCCTCTTTGGCATAGGTAGCTTAAAACCCAATCGCTTTGGCATGGGTAAGGCAAAGTAACCCAGGTACAGACAGGTCGGGTATGTATCCTACAGTATCTGTTCACACTGGCATACAATGACAATTAGATTATTCCTACTAGTGTCGAGCGTGTCAGCTCGGGAGTAATCTATACATAGAAAAAATTTTACTTCTATTTGGTTTAGCTCGCCAGATCGGGAGTAATTCATACACAGAAAAATTTTGCACATAAAGATTGCAAAATACTTGTATTTCATTGATAAAGAACTCCGAGTACAAAAAAAAAGAGAAAGATTACAATTGTCTAACCGAGCTCGAAGGCTTGGAACATCGAGCATTACAAAAGGAGGGGTCCAAGAAAAGAGGTGTCAGTTTGTTCGGGGCTCCTCATCCTTAACGGAGACTTTAGCAAGAGGATCTGTCTCCATATGGTCCTCGATGGCATAGGTCTCCTCTCCCTCGTCATCAAGTAGGTTGTCATCGCTCCCCGCCTCGGAGTCCGGATCCTTGGCGGCTTCAACGGCCATCTCCTTGGTGATTTTAGACGTGGTGATGGCACTGAGGTCGAGGTGGGCAAATTCACGCCGGGTCAACCACCTACTAAGCTTGAACCCCTTGCGGTAGCCCGCTATCCCAGCCTTGACCAACCTTTCCCGAAGCTCCACCGAAGAATTGTACTCCTCAACTACCTTAACCTTGGCCTCCTTCATCGCCTAAAGCAAGATTTCAGTATGTTCCTTCACATGAGCCTCGAGGTTCTCGATCTCCCTCTTCAATGCCACTTCACGCTCTTCGAGCTCCTTCTTCTCTGTCATCAACAGAGTTAGCAGCTCCTACTTAGCTCGCGCATCGTTCTTCAGTTTGTTGATTTTGTTACGAGCTAAGTTAAGTTCAGTGTGGGTAGTTCGGGAAGACTCCTCGGCTTCGAGAGTCCGCATTAGGTTCACCTCAAACTAGTAGGCCAAGGCGTGGATAGAGGAGTTCACCTGCCAAGAGAAGAAAACAAGCATTAGTATACGAAAAATCTAAGTATAAGAAAACTTGAAAGATAGGTTCAAGAACATACCACCATACAATGTGTGGCCGCTCGGGCCCTAAGCTGAGCAACTGGCAAGTTTGCCCAACGAGCGACCTCCTCAGTAAACACTGCGTCCTTGCTCTTAAAAAGGCCGAACTTCGGAGTCAAAATGCT